CGCGTCCAGCCGTCTCTTCTCGGGGAGGAACGTAGACCGGACTCGAGAAAGCGGCAGAAATCGAGCCTAGTGCTTTACCAATTCGACTGTCACGGGTTTTTGACCTTCACGGCCCGATATTGATATATGAAAGTCTCAAGTTCTCAACCCCAGATATGAAACGGAAATAGAGTGTGCTATTAAAATTTCCTTTATGATGTAATAATTTCACTGCAAAGGATTATGGTATAGGGGTTTTTCCCTTGGACGTTTCCTGGAAAGAGTGTTTCGTTCCTGCATGCAAGTTTCTCGCTGTTCTTCGAACTTCGAATAAAGAGCTTCAGGTAAGATAATAAACGCAGGCATCCTGTTATACTAACGAATAGTAACAGTGATATTATCAGTGTTTGATACTTCGACTTTCAAAAGCTTCCATTTAATTTGACTGCTACTCGTTCTTGTTTGTAACTAGTTGTAATCTACAGACTGCAAGTTGCATCTCACTATTACATTGCGAGGGTTGAAGTTACGCAAAGCGTGCCAGGGCTGGTTCTCTAGTTGTGTCATGCTTGTCTTTTCAATCAGAGCTACGCTTACCTTTCTGCTCATTTTGGACATTATGCAATAAATAATAATAATTATAATCGGAAATGTTTTGGGACTGATTTCTAATTTTGATTAATTAGATTTATCCAGTTTGCAGGTGTCATATAATTCACACTAACCGATCCGATAAAGTTCAATAATTCACTGTGGACGTTTTAGCACGACGGGCTCACAACATTAAAACTGTGTTCCTTTCTCAGCGCTTTAATGCAGCATAGATCGCTCGCGAGGTCGTCCCAACATGTCCCAGTTATAATTATTAGTTACGGCCTTCCGTTGTAGATTGGAAGATTGTAAAGAGAATACTCCTGTTGTTTTCAAATGATGACATTTTACATTACACTTGCCTGTGTTATCTTCTTGTCATTTCTTATAATTTTACAGCATCCTACTTTTAGGCGTTCTAGCGACAGCGAAGTGCAACTAACGTGTGAATGTGTTACGCGTCTGGTGAAATTAGTTGACCTTCTATCCAGAGGTCGAAAGCATATTTACACCCGCTTTCGGTGTTATGTGCATTGCCTGATTTCAAGCCGAAAAGGACTAGGTACGAGTCTGTAAATTATGGGATTAACAACTATTGATCCACATAGTCTGAAAGAGCACACCGAGATTCACAAAATGC